CTGAGTTTTCCTTCAGAACAAATCCTTATTATTAATTTAGGTGGTTTTCCATATTGGAGCAGCAACTTATATATTTAATTTCTTCCAAGTGAGAACAGTTAGCTCTGATTTTCTTATCTAAATGCATCTTTTAAGAGAACACACGTAGGACATAGGGAAGCTGTGTAGGCCGTGGAAGAGGCGTGCAGGGCATAGAGAAAGTATATAGGGCATGGAGGAGGCATATAGGACATGCAGGAGGCTGTAGGCCATTGAGGAGGCATGTAGGGCATGCAGAAGGCATGCTGGACATTAAGTGTAAAACACGAGCGACAGAACTGCAGTTTCTTTCTGACAGTCTGCTTGTGTCTGTCGTACTGTGTCTTCAAGTCCCCATTGCCCATGGAGGAGGCATATAGGACACAGAGGAGGCTGTAGGACATTGAGAAGGCATGCAGGACACAGAGGATGTGTGCTGCCCAGCTGAAAGGGATATTCTCCTTGGTCTTGACACCTGATCCCAGGAGCAGGGACTGTAGAAAGGATGAGACCCCTGCAGCAGCCACTGTCTTCTACAAGAGGTGCCTAGCCCCCTGGGGCAGGAAAGCCCCAGCGTGGGAAGCCCTGTGTTGGTGCCTGCTTGCGCAGACCAGGTATACCCTGGACACAGGACCAGGGCTTCAAACTTGTTCATTCTGGTTGGAAGCTATGCTGATAATTTGCATTCCCGACAAGTTCCCAGGCAATGCTAATGCTGCTGGTTAGGGACCAATTCTGAAAACCACTAGTAGAGCAGTGGTTCTCAACATTTATTATACATAAGAATCACCTGGGGATCTTGTTCAACTGTAGATTCTGATTCAGTATCTCTAGGGTGGAAATGCAAATTCTCAGCAGGGATTCTAACCGGAAGGAACCCGTCGAAAGCTCTGCACAGGACTCTCCCTTCCTGCAGCGGCAAGTCTCCCCGAGAGCTGCAGCTAGGCAGCGGGAGCAGCTCTTCCACCCAGACTGGCTTCTTTTAGGAGGGCTGCAGCTGGAAAAAGGAGCCCTGGTGACACAGTACAGGGGGCCCTGGTGGTGCAGGGGCTTCCGAGCTCAGCTGCTAACCAAAAGGGCGGCAGTTCTCATCCACGAGCTGCTTCTTGGAATCCACTTGACAGCAATGTTCTTCTGTTTGTTTGTTTGGTGGCGCAGTGGTTAAGCTCTCAGCTAGAGGTCAATGGTTCAAACCCACTAACTACTTTGCAGGAGAAAAATGTGGCAGTCTGCTCCCATAAAAATTACAGCCTTGGAAACCCTACAGGGCAGTTCTACTCTTTTCTATAGGGTCCACTAAGACCATGGGTTGGGTTTTGTTTGTTTGTTTTTGCAGCTGGAAAAGATGCTGGGGATAGGATGTGCCGTTTTAGGACTTCAATGTTGGTGGGGGGAGGGGCAGAGCAAACCTCTAATCCTCCCCTTTCTTACATAACAAATCCAAACACAACTGTCTGTGGGATGAGAGGCCAGGCCATCAGATTGCAGGCTGTGGAGGGAAGGGTTATGCAAGAAGCCAGTTCAGAGTCTTTCTTCCTGAAAACGGAAAGACCCAGAATGCGGGTTTGACATCTGAACGCCTGCAAGGGAGTAACTAAAATCCCTAAACCTAGCTGTGTCCAGGGCTCTGAGAGAAAAAGGGATTTTTTTGTTTGTTTGTTGGGGGTGGGGGTGGAGGAGTTCCTTGCCTAGCGTGGCAGTGGGTGCAGAAGCTGCAGCTCCACGTCACAAAAAAAAAAAGCCAAGTGGCCAGCCTGGTGTGTTTGCATGGTTACTAACAGCTCCCACTGGGAGCGGGGGTCCTGTAGGTGGACAGGCTCAAGCTGCAGTGGGTGGGTAGGAGTCGGGCACCCTCTAACAGGAAAGGGGTTGCCCTACCACAGAAAAAACCAGAGACCCGGACCGAGGGAAGCCTAGCTGTGAATGAAGGTGACCTGGGTCTCAGGGAAGGGCCAACTTTGCCTCCGCGCCCCAGCAAGGACCTTGCTCCTACCACTCCCAGCCAGCCGTGCCGCCCAGGGCTCAGGGACGGAAGGAAAGGCTGAGTAGCTGGAGCGGTCTAGGGGAGATCCCAGCGCAGGTGGCCCCGGCACCCGCGCTGCGCGGTGGCTCCGGGAACGCCAGCCCTCTACCTCCGTCCCTCTTCATCTTCCCCGCACTCACCAGACCCCTCAGCACCGGCTCCCACAGCCCTTTCCCGCCAGGCAGTGCCGGGCTAAAAGGCAGAAGAGAAAAGGGCGAGAGAAAGTTTTCCGAAATGAAAGAGGTTGCGAAGGGAGGTTTGAAGGAATGGGAAATGGCAAAGAGAGCGTGTGAGGACCTGAGAAGACAGGAGAGGGGGACTGATGCCGCCATCCCTCCAGCACATAGAAGGACTGGGGCTCCCGGAAGCGGCGCCGCGCCCTCCCAACCCGCCTCGCTAAGGTGCGGCGGCGGGTCTAACGGGTACAGCCACCGCACACCCAAGAAATTCGGGCGTCGCAGGAGGAGAGCTTCCCATGGGACCGGACTGGGTCGGTCCCCAGAGAGGAGCCGCGGTCCCGGGACCTGCGTTGCCCCTGTGTGCGTCCCAGTGTCTGTGTGCTTGTGTCTCCGCGCGCGGCCCTGGGTGCAGGCACCGGCCTGTCTACGTGGGACCCGTGCCGGGTGGGAAGACTCCTGGCGCAGGGAGGATTAACCCCCGGGCGGGGAGGCCTGCGAGGAGCCCGCGAGCCCGGGGCAGGGGTGGGAAGGGGGTGAGGGTTGCGGGGCGCAGCCAGAGTAGGGCGAGCCGGCGTGCCTCGGGGCCCAGCTCGATGTTCCGGGGCTTGTGGTCCCCGGTTCCGGGGCATCATGGCGAGTGGCCACGGCAGGCTGAGGATGGAGACGCGGCCGGGCCAGGCCTGCCTGCCTGCCTAGCGCGCCCGCCCTGAAGCTCCCGGCTCTGCCCGATTCCCGCCGCATGCGCCCCGTCCTGTGGGTGCCCAGATGATGGGCTGGTGCACGGCCCCGCAGTGGCTGCGTGGGTATCAGGGTGTGGGTGTCTGTGTATCTGACAGCGCATTGCTGTGCCGAGGGGCTGTCAGCTTCTCCAGGAAGCACTTGGTCACTCTGACCGCCCTGGGACATGTCGTTCTAGGTACGGAGTCAGGGTGTCGGTCACTGGGTGGGTGTCTGTGTCTCAGCGCCCTGGCCAAGGAAGACTCACCTTCGGAGTTTGCGTACCTCCCCAACGCGGAGGCTTTTCACGCACAGAGTCGACGTGACTCTTAGGCGGAGGATGCCAGTCGGCTTAGGATGCCAGTCGGCTTAGGATGATTCCACAGGGAGTCAGGCCACCGGGACTAGAGCGTTGACCCCCAAGGTCGTGATCGCCCTCAGCCCAAGCTGCGGGGTTTCTTCGGGCTACGGGGGCAGCCGGTCTACCTCGCGGAGGCCTCCTTCGCCCCAAAGGGGATACACTTGTATCCGCGGACATGTGCCTGTCAGGGTGTGTGCACACGCACTGGCACACGCCATTACTCAGCTAATCACACCTCTTGCTCCTTGATCCGTGCACACAAGGGCAGGATTACCCCGCAGCCAGCCTCGGCTGCCCACGGCCTCTCGGATCACAGCGAAAGCCTTCCCCACCAGACACCATTCTGGGTTGATGAAATGAACAGAGCCTTGGAATGAAATTCGGTCTTCTCTCTTACTGAACAACACCAAAGCGCTACAAAAGTACAAATTAACTGCTAACATTATTTGCAGCCTTGGTTTTGGGGGTACTTCCCCCTGTCCTCGCCAGCCCAGATCCTTACCCCCAAGCCTCCAGGGATCCAGGCCAAAATCTATTGGCTGCCAACTTCACGCTCCCCATCTTTCTCCCAGGCCCCACTCAGCTCTGGTGTCTGACAACTGGAACTTCACTCCTTGGGTCTCCTACACCTCCCCAGTGGGGTCCTGTCAATTCAAGTTAGGAGCTACCGGCCAGAGAACAAGCTGTGCCTCCCCAAGCAGGGAAATCGGGTCTGAGGGGACCTGCTGTTGCTGAAGGAGCACAGAAGCCTTTCTGGGATTTGGGGGGGTCCTGCCTTCGAGGTTTCTGGGGCACTGAGTTATAGACCAGGAGTCGAAGGAGGCCAGAGGGATTTTGGGTGACCTAGGCCGGCACCTGCTCTTCCAAGCAGCCCTGAAGAGCCTGGGAAAGGAAAGGTTCTGGGGACCACCTTCCAGGCAGAGGTCTCCGGACTGCAGACAGTGCTGCTGCGTTAGAAGAAGGATGCTTCAGACCACTTCTCTGACCGGATTCAGGGAGTCACTGAAACCCAGGTCCAGCTATGCAGTGCTCTGCTGCAAGACTGGAAGCTCCGGACCTGAGCGACCGGTGCACCCTGGGCGCGTCACCCCAGAAAAAGGTCTGAAGGAAGAGGTTCCCTGTCTGGAAGCTTCCTGCACCCAAACCCTGGTGCTGGGTTCTACCTGCATCTGTAAGCGGGGAGAGGTGTGAGGGACAGGTGTTCTAACTCTGGGCAGGTCTGGCATCTCCCTGAGAGATGTGCTGGAGAAAGTCAAGGGCCGTGTAGCCCAAGTGGGAGGGCAAGGGCAGCGGGGCCCCTGGGGCTGGGCACCAGAAAACACCAGCTTCCCATGAGGGTGGCAGGTCCTGGCTACCCAGGCTCAGCCAGCCTCCACCTCGGAGCCATTAGGTTAGCAGGCTAGTCCTGATGCTAGAACCTGGAAGCCCCACAAAGGTGGCATCTGGTAGGGACTCCAAGGCCTTTTTGGACCTGCACCATCTCAGCTCACAAACTGGCTCCTGCCCCAGGGTCTGTACCTAAGGTGGGAAGCAGAGAACACGTTTGAGGCACACATATCCACACTCACTCAGACACTCAAGGGAGAGATTCGCCCAGACTTGGTTTGGTTTTCCATGGGCAAGGGGATGAGAGTGCCCAAAAGTTGGTGCAACTGTTGAAAAGGCAAGAGAAGAAAGTCTAAGTCATCCGAACGCGGAGTGCTCTAAATAAACACCATTTCCATGGTTTTAATAAGCAAAATAGGAAAACCCTTTTAATAACCAAAAAACAGAAACCAGTCTGAATAAAACTACAATAGACTAGGTTTTAATATTTTCATATCATAAGCAGGGTTTGAAATTGATCCCTTATTTTACATGAAATAAAAACAATTTCCGTTGCAGCAAGTTTGATTTCAACACAGTTGAATCCGTAAAAACCAAAGCTCATTTCTGATGCAGGACGAATATCCACAATATTTAAAACTGCAAGCACCATGCGGTTCATACAATCTTGTTATTACTGTTAATTTATCAACTAATACAAACTCAGAATGCATCCGGCCAGCACCGCCAGCAATTGCAAATGGTGACTAAAAAATACGCTTTCATTTTGGTATTTTTGTCAGTGCAACTTAAATCCTTTTACTGACCTGCAGAAAAAAAAAAAGTAACAAAACAAAAAAGCCACCCAGATCTTCCCTATAACTATTATACAACCGAAGGGGGGAGGAACACCACCAATAACTCGCCCCTTATTTCAAAAGCAGGCAAAGAAACACACAACGTGTTGATCTAAAGAACGCCCTTGAAAGTTGCAAAATTACTTGCCGAGGTTTAGCTTCTCGGGACATTCAGAGCGTGGCAGTTGATTCAACAGAAGCTCAGGTCACCACCGGCTGGCGAAACCGCTGGCCTTTAGGAGCGCTGCGGCCGCTGCAATTAGTAAGGGCATAGGAGGTTGCAAACGGACCCCGGGGTGAGTCTGGTTACAATAAAAAGCAAACACGATCTATTTTCCTTTCCTTTCTGGTTGGGGTGTCAATTTCGCTTGAAGACTAGGAGAGGAGCAAGCGTACCTCGGGCCTCGGGGTGTGGAAGTCCGCAGCTCCCCTGCCCTGGTACTGGGGAGCTGGGATTCCAGTCCTCTCTTCCTCTCTCAACACCCAACAAAACTGAAAACTAAAGCGAGAGGAAAAAGAGGACTGAATGAGGGGCAGGCAAGGAGAAGAGAACATGCAACTTCCAAGGGTGCCCCAAGACAAAGTTGTTTTCTGATGCTGGTGCAAAGTGCCCGGAACTTTTATTTCTCTACTTACCAAAAAAAAAAAAAAAAGTCATAATGATAAACCCAAACAAAGACAGCTTGCGGCCACATTTTCTACGCGATTTGGCGGGGCGGGTATTTACAAGCCAACAGCCAGGACTGAAACCCAAACAACGCACGCAGTCCCCGGAGTTTCCGAACTGCGATCCCTTCCACCCAAACAAACAAGGGGGTTATGATCCATGATCAACAACATGCTAAAGTTAAACAAGAAAATGGTACAAAATAGAAATTATTACCATACATGTCCAGCATGCAGGATTAATATTTTTAATGCAGATTTTCGTGTTGTTTTTTTTTTTTTTTCTGTATAATCGAGCAGGCAATAAAACTGATGAGATCTGCGCGCCGAACGTCCTAACTGAGGCCCGCGGCCCCGGACTGAGAGCCAGTGTTCTCCGGACCCTGGACAGACAGGTCCATCTGTCCTTCCTCCGCTCAGCCTTGTCTCTCGCCTGAGGGTACGCCAGGGTTTCCCTCCTTTCCTCTCCTCGCCGCTCTTTTCTTGGGGCGGACTGCGCTCCGGGCAGCAAGGAAGCGGCCCCGGCTTAACGCGCAAAGTTCAGAAAGCCAGGAGTCTCCAGACAGCCTTGGCGGCTGCTTAGGACTATGCCTCGCTGCCCTCCAGCCTGGAGAAAAGTTGCTCCGGGACCTCCCACCCCCTGGTCTCTCTCTGGCTCTGCTCCAGTCTAGGAGGCGGCGCTGGTGCGCGTTGCTCTCGCCTTGGCGGAGATCCCCTACCCACCCGCGCGCCCGCCCGTCGCCCGCGGCCCGCGCGCCCTTCCTCCCTCTCCAAATCAAACAGGTCAAGGCTGGGGCAGTGGCAGGAACATGGGTCCGGGAGGGTCCGGGGCTGGGGACACGGGACGGGGAGTCCGGGCCGGGGCAAGGGCGGGGGCCGAGATCGGCCACGACTCACAGAAAGAACTCGGGAGAGGAGGGGCTGTCGCTGGTGGAGCCCGCCTCCCTGAAGCCGGAGTTGGCGAGTTTCTCGCACTTGACCTTGTAGGCGTCTCTCTCGCGGGCCAGCCGGGACACCTCCTGCTTGAGCTGCTCCACCTGCTGAATGAGCTGCGTCTTCTCATTCTCCAGGTGGTGTTTCTGCTGGACACGTTTATACCTGCAGGACTGGGCGTAGCCCCGGTTCTTCAGGGTCCGCCGCTTCTGCTTCAGGCGGATCACCTCGTCCTTGGTGAAGCCCCGCAGGTGGCGGTTCAGCTCGCGCACTGACATGGACACGAGCTGGTCGTCGGAGAAGCGGTCCTCCACGCTGCCGCTGCCGCCAGCCGCCGTGGCCGCTGCCGCCGCATGCGGCCCCGGCCCGGGGTGGCTGGTGGGTAGCTGCTGCGTGGGGCTGGCCGCGGTGGACGGCGGCGGCGACGCTTGGTGATGGTGGTGATGGTGCGGGTGCGCATGTGGGCCCAGTTCGTCGTGGGCCACGCCGGCGGCCTGGTACGCGTGGTGCGGGTGTGGGTGGTGGTGGTGGTGGTGGTGGTGCGCGCCGCGGAAGCCGTCGAAGCTCTGCAGCGGCTGTGGCACTGGGTGCGAGCCGATGAGCGCCTCCACCGCGTCCTCGGGCGTCAGGTTGAGCGCCTCGGGGTTCATCTGCTGGTAGTTGCTCGCCATCCAGTACAGGTCCTCGAGGTGGGTCTTCTCGGTCGGGCTGAAACTGGGCGATGAGGGCACCGAGCTACAAGGCGTGCTGAGCGGCGTGGACGACACCGAGCCGGCCGGCTGCAAGCGCGTACAGGGCCGGCCCGGGCGCTCGGCGCGCCCCAGCGGCTCCTTCTTCACGTCGAACTTGAGCAGGTCGAAGTCGTTGACATACTCCATGGCCAGCGGGCTGGTGGGCAACTCAGGCCCCATACTCAGCTCCGCGGCCATCGCTGACGCGGGGCGCAGCCGCA